TGTCCTTAACAGTGAAGGTTGGTGTCCTTAACAGTGAAGGTTGGTGTCCTTAACAGTGAAGGTTGGTGTCCTTAACAGTGAAGGTTGGTGTCCTTAACAGTGAAGGTTTGTGTCCCTAACAGTGAAGGTTGGTGTCCAACAGTGAAGGTTGGTGTCCTAACAGTGAAGGTTGGTGCCCTAACAGTGAAGGTTGGTGTCCTTAACAGTGAAGTTTGGTGTCCTAACAGTGAAGGTTGCGCCTTAACAGTGAAGGTTGGTGTCCTAACAGTGAAGTTTGGTGTCCAACAGTGAAGTTTGGTGCCTAACAGTGAAGGTTGGTGCCCTTAACAGTGAAGGTTGGTGTCCTTAACAGTGAAGGTTGGTGTCCTTAACAGTGAAGGTTGGTGTCCTTAACAGTGAAGGTTGGTGTCCTTAACAGTGAAGGTTGGTGTCCTTAACAGTGAAGGTTGGTGTCCTTAACAGTGAAGGTTGGTGTCCTTAACAGAGATTGGTGTCCTTAACAGTGAAGGTTGGTGTCCTTAACAGTGAAGGTTGGTGTCCTAACAGTGAAGGTTGGTGTCCTTAACAGTGAAGGTTGGTGTCCTTAACAGGGCTGGTGTCCTTAACAGTGAAGGTTGGTGTCCTTAACAGTGAAGGTTGGTGTCCTTAACAGTGAAGGTTGGTGTGTCCTTAACAGTGAAGGTTGGTGTCCTTAACAGTGAAGGTTGGTGTCCTTAACAGTGAAGGTTGGTGTCCTTAACAGTGAAGGTTGGTGTCCTTAACAGTGAAGGTTGGTGTCCTTAACAGTGAAGGTTGGTGTCCAACAGTGAAGGTTGGTGTCCTTAACAGTGAAGGCTGGTGTCCTAACAGGAAGGTTGGTGTCCTTAACAGTGAAGGTTGGTGTCCTAACAGTGAAGGTTGGTGTCCTTAACAGTGAAGGTTGGTGTCCTTAACAGTGAAGGTTGGTGTCCTTAACAGTGAAGGTTGGTGTCCTTAACAGTGAAGGTTGGTGTCCTAACAGTGAAGGTTGGTGTCCTAACAGTGAAGGTTGGTGTCCTTAACAGTGAAGGTTGGTGTCCTAACAGTGAAGGTTGGTGTCCTTAACAGTGAAGGTTGGTGTCCTTAACAGTGAAGGTTGGTGTCCTTAACAGTGAAGGTTGGTGTCCTTAACAGTGAAGGTTGGTGTCCTTAACAGTGAAGGTTGGTGTCCCTAACAGTGAAGGTTGGTGTCCTTAACAGTGAAGGTTGGTGTCCTTAACAGTGAAGGTTGGTGTCCTAACAGTGAAGGTTGGTGTCCTAACAGTGAAGGTTGGTGTCCTAACAGTGAAGGTTGGTGTCCTTAACAGTGAAGGTTGGTGTCCTTAACAGTGAAGGTGTCCTTAACAGTGAAGGTTGGTGTCCTTAACAGTGAAGGTTGGTGTCCTTAACAGTGAAGGTTGGTGTCCTTAACAGTGAAGGTTGGTCCTTAACAGTGAAGGTTGGTGTCCTTAACAGTGAAGGTTGGTGTCCTTAACAGTGAAGGTTGGTGTCCTTAACAGTGAAGGTTGGTGTCCTTAACAGTGAAGGTTGGTGTCCTTAACAGTGAAGTCTGGTGTCCTTAACAGTGAAGGTTGTGTCCCAACAGTGAAGGTTGGTGTCTAACAGTGAAGGTTGGTGTCCTTAACAGTGAAGGTTAGTGTCCTTAACAGTGAAGTTTGTGTCCTAACAGTGAAGGTTGGTGTCCTAACAGTGAAGGTTAGTGTCCTTAACAGTGAAGGTTGGTGTCCTTAACAGTGAAGGTTGGTGTCCTTAACAGTGAAGGTTGGTGTCCTTAACAGTGAAGTTTGGTGTCCTTAACAGTGAAGGTTGGTGTCCTTAACAGTGAAGGTTGGTGTCCTTAACAGTGAAGTTTAATCTGTATATGAAGTTTACTTTATTTCTTAATCCACTCACTAATAACGTGGTAGTTTATCAGTCATCGGTCTGTCTCAAGGAAACACACAGACAGACAGATAGACAGACTTAGACATATACAGACAGACAAAGACAGATAAACTGACAGACAAGGACAGATAGACTGACAGACACAGAGGAACAGACAGACAGACTGGCAGACAAATAGACAGAGAGTTACACTGACAGACACAGACACAGAAAGAGGGACAGGGAAAGACAGATAGACAATCACCGACAGACAGGAGGACAGGCAGACAGGAGGACAGGCAGACAGGAGGACAGGCAGACAGGAAGACAGGCAGACAGGAGGACAGGCAGACAACGACCAAAAGACATGCAGACGCTAAGATAAACAGGAAAGCGTAAGAAAGTAGACAGAGGGACAGACACACGAAGAGAAACAGAGAGAGGGGAGGGGAAGGAGGGAGGGAGAAATTAAGAAACATAGGAAAGTAGACAAATATATATATATATATATAAAATATATATATATATATATATATATATATATATATATATATATTATATATATATATTATATATATATATAAATAACAAAACAAAGAAATACGTCTGTGTGTGTGTTTGTTTGTGTGTTTTTTTTTTTAGTTTAACAAATTTATTGGCAGAGCTTGTAGTACAGTTTGCCTATTCCGAGTAATTCAGTCAGGTCTTGACACTGAGGGTGGTATCACTTCTCACTGTCACGCAGGACAGAGGTTCACACACAAAGAAATACATTATATTCATTAACAACTATAAATGTATATAGGTCAGGTTCATATGGATAATGTCACTGTTCACTGCCATGCAGGACAGAGGTTCGTACACAAAGAGTTGCATCATATTCATTGACAGTACATATACATATATGTAAACACACACACACACAC